GTGTCTGCCATGTTGAATAAAATGAACAGATGTAATAGACAGTAGTGATTAATTTTTGATAGAATAGAATACTATGAAACAGAAACGTCTAGACTGGATTCAGAATAGGATAGGATAGGATATTTTATTTGGCACGTACACAATACAGAACTAGTGTAAAGTCCAAAATAACGCATACAAAATAAGCTAAAACAATTCTAAAACATGAAAAACAATAAAAAGATCAGAATTTGAAAAAAATATCATGTGATAGATTCAGAATACTATAAGCCATATTATTTTCACTGTTTCACGTTTTCACAATTTGAGGAGACTCATGATTAAAGTCACTGTGAGCGAAATTCTGCGAGTGTCACTGTGACTCGCTGTCTTAACCCTTTACTTGATGAAAGCCTCCATAAATACATAAATAGGAATGGGAAACGACAGCACCAGTAATCGATATGTTATAAAAGATTAAAAAATAAAGTGTTCACTGCTGCAGGATTATCCAGGGTCCATAGTGTTGGGAAAATCCTTTGAAAGTCTTTGGATTTTTGAGGTCTGCAAAGTCTTTGAGTTGTCTTTAAATTACAAGAACACTCTTTGAAAAGTCTTTAAATTTCTTCATAGTTATTAATTCATTTTAGAAAGGCCTGTTTTCTCCAGGGAACTACCATATTCTTTGATGAGCTTTGGTGATGATGTTGGCCTGAATTAAGGGTCAAAATTTCTTAGGATAATGCAAGAAAATTTGGGAAAAGGTCTGGAAAAGTCTTGGAAATCATTTGGCTCTTAGTGCTATGGACTCTGTTATCAGTTTTCCCTGGCTTATTAAACAATATTACCACTTTGTACAGTTACATTCTACATTGTCCGAGTACTTCATCAAGTCTACCATTTTTATACACCCCAAGTTTGAGCTACATGTAGTTGTGTTATAAACAATTCTTAAATGATCTATCACACCGGTTAAGAGGGAGGTAAATGTCTTGTTTGAAACGCCACAACATCTTTAAAAATGATATATTTGTACAGATGAATGGATATGCATATGCTGGTAATATGCTAGCTCATATTTGGTCCTTACATGCAATACATGAGACATTGCAGTGAATGGAAAATCACCTACTGATCAGATCAAAATTGATTAAATGTTATATTCCTGGAGGGTGGAGCTATGTCACAGGACATTCTATGTTGCTTGGACAAGCACCACTGTATTGTGTATCTCTATTGGCTGTGTGTACAAACTGCTGTGCAATGCTAGTCAAAAAGCCGGTGAAAACGGCTGAAGTCAAGAAACCAACACAAACTCAAGTATGTGGCAATTCTGAACAACCAATTTATATATGTTGAACATGTAGGGATAGTCTTGTTTAATACACTAGTTCAAGAGAGTCTCAACAACTAGCTCAAAGTACAGTTTTCTGAAAGTTTTCGATCATTGTTTTCACTAGCGATAATTGCATGGATGTTTTCTCCTGTAATTGCCTGGTACTCAACACAACAGTGAAAGTTATTAGTATGTGAACACAATGGCACATGATATGAATACTGATAATACCAGGAGACCAGGTGACAACTGTTAGACTGACTTTATGTCTAATTTCCTATGTCAACATTTCCCTGCCATGCCTGTAATCCACCCGTGGCTGAACTCTGGATTAAGTAACATCAGACAAAGTAGTCTTGTATGGCGTATCCATGGTGACAGACCAAACAATATTTGACATGCATGTAAATTGCTATGAAAAAAATGTAGTGACCTTTACTTTTACCTTATAGAAGCCTCAATTCCATCTTCAATATAGTCAAGTACTGTAAAATACTTTATTTTCGCTTGGAATTAATTTTCACTGAAGGAATGATTCAGTGAAAATAAAATCCAGCGAATATACCTTTTTTCCTATATTTAAAATTCAACTCGTCAAGAATCAGTGAAAATAAATTCCATACAAAACACAAAAAAGTCTTTTCCGCGAAAATTAATTCCAGCTAAAATAAAGTATTTCACAGTATATCAATCATCATGGTTACTAAAAATAGGACTCGCCCATACAACGTAGTACAGCACGTGAAAAACATTAAATGAGAAAAAGATGGCTGATTAAAAAATTTTCAGCTGTGATTTTCAGTGAAATTTTGAGAAAGTTTATTGCCCGAGCAAAGCTCTTGGGAAATTATTTTAATATCAGAAAACCTCATCAATATTTCTATTGCTATTTCAGATATTGTTTACTCATTTGTCTGATTCAGACGTCTTTATAAATAAGTAATCACATGATATAATGCTTATAAATGTCCATTTCAAACTAATGATATTTACATTCTGAACACCATCATTTTTATCACCAAAATGTTGGTGCAACATTTCGTGCAATTTTAGGTATTTTTTAATAATTTCTCAAACAAATGATACAGGTTAATTGTGTGATGCAAGATGACACACGTTGACTTTGAGGTTCAAAGTGTGAAGTCAGAGATTGTATTTTTGTGTAGCGAGTCCCAATGATGTGAACCCATCTCATGTGAACCCAGCTGAGGATATGCAGCCATCTAATGATTGACTTCTTGTATATTTCAGGAATGAATTCAAGTAAGAAAGAGACAAAGAAAGAACAAGACTCGTCACACGGTCGCAACACTTATCCCGGCATTTATCAACCGTCTAAACCCAATCTGGGTGGTATGTCATTTTACAGAAAGAATGATCTATTTGGCAAGTGTTTGTCTCTTTCACTGTCTATCTTCACCATCTTCTCATTTGTAATGTTATTATGTGATTGTTTCATATTTACCACATCACATCACCTGATTTTACCATATGCAGATATGTTTTTAGTGTGTTGCCATGCACTGCACACACGTTTTTTCAACACATAAACCACGTCCTCATTTGAACATAACTTCTGTCACATCTCAAACTTACATAAATGCAAAAAAGTCATTTGATTTTATATGACATTTTTGAGTTTCTCATGAATTTTGATTGAGACCAGTAAAAATTAAGTGTCCTTGTCGCTGAAGTGTTGAAATCGTGAAAGTAGGAAGGTTAAAATGTGAAATAGATTCAGTGAATATAACTGACAATGTAGTGAACACGTTGAATTATTAAGCAAATAACACCGAATAAACGGCAAGGTAAAGACTACGTCTAATTATGATAGTAAATACGTACTGCGTGCGTGACTCGAACCGGCGCTCGCGTACGGCACCTAATCGCCTAGCTTCACGCCACTACACGTCTTCCCCTCGGCCACCGGGCATCCCCCAAAAAAGGATGCTTAATAACCGAGCTTATTACGTGCAGAGAACATGAAACCCGTCCACGCGATCCGCGCCACACAGCGTGGCCAGAATGCGGCAAAGGCCTTCAGATCTGGCTGTAGTATGGATGGTGAAAGTAATGGTACAGCATTGTAACAGTGAATAAGTACTGAGAAATAATTTTAAACTCATAGTTGCTGTCG